TTAGCATGAAAACAATTACATGCCATGCACAACCAGTGATAATAGTTTTGTAACTTCTTCTAGGATTCATACCTCAGAATCTACAATGTAAAGGCAATCCTCCTCTTTGTCATAGAGGGTTGCCGCAGGTCGTAACATCTTTGCAGATTCAAATTCTCCATCCTCAAAACCTGGGAAACAACCAATCTGAAATAAAAACATCGACTTGAAGTTTAGCTTTGTTAAACAAGTAGCTCCAAATGAACTTTTCTCACTAGGAATGCCATTTTAGGGAAATTAAGCAAATAAATATTTAAAATTTATACTTTTCCATATGTGATTCAGTTCACTTACACTGTCTAAAAGCTTCCCACTGTTATCCAATATAATAATACGATGATGGTTGCTATCAGAGAGAAAGAGACGATCCCCAATTTCATCTGCAGAGATACAACCTGTCACAGAGAATGTCAGACAACAAGAGTACTAATGTTAAATGGAAACATCAAAACCATATTCCAAAAAGACCAAAAAAACAAATGAAGATATATACCTGGAAAGTAAAGAAACAAATCTTGCAAGAAAGAAGAGAAATGTGGTTCCTTGATAACCTCAGCCTGTTTTGACCAAGTGTTTGTGAAAAGTTTGACAGACTTGGATTTCTCAGTATCTTGAGTGAGGTTGTCAAGAACTGCAATTAAGCACAAAAATCAAATGGAACTATTAGATGCTTTTGCCTTTTTAGATGCCGAGGAAGATTGAAAGTATGAAGTGAAAACTATTTAATAGCTAAAATCAGCCTAGCGCGGATGAAATTTCTTTTCTTCTAAGGTGAACATGGAACAATAGCTATGACATTGTTAGAGATTATCTGTAGTGAATATGATGATAAAGTAAGGCAAACCTTTAGCTACAGAAGCGATATCCAGATCCTTCTCTTGATAGATTAAAGGATTCTTAAAATCTTTAAACACGATGTAGCGTACTTCCTCAGTTGTCTTATACAAGTAGAAAACACACCACCCTCAAATTTAAAATAGAATCATCTGCACATAAATACAAAAAAATGTAATATACAGCAAAATGACTTACCTTAGGAAATTCTTTCTCAGAATGTAGTACAGGAAAAGTAAGGTATTCCTTCACAATCAACTCAGCCAAAGCAGCTCGATCATCAGTGATTCGATCACTGAAGTGGATGCCCATGAAAAAGACACCCGGAGACCTTAAAAGACGATAAATCTCATTAAGTCGCCATGATTCTTTGGTTAAATTAGCAGGTAAAGAAAGAAACTTTGATAAAAAAAACCTCTGCTGCAGCAATTTTAGTTTCTCAATCAGATCACTTGTTCCATTAAGCAAATGTCCAGCGAGAACTACATAAGTTCCTTTGTCCTTGTAAAGCTGTTTATTCCCAATGTCTCGATTCAACCAACGATGGGAAGGACCTAAGAGTTACATTTCCAAAACTTTGTTTACAACAGAACGAGATGTTTCAAAACTAGATGACAGAATCAGTATACAAGAATCAGTACCTTCAAGTTTATCAAGTGAAGCTCTAATATAAGAGAGTAAATCAGCATGTGGAGGAGACGAAACAGAAGCTCGAGATACTCGTTTTACTGATGCAAACCTGAAAGAGACTGCCCAATACAAATTAGAAAGTGAAACTAAAATCAAAATAGAAGAAACACACTGCTCGATATAATCAATCGAATTACCCGCGAGAAAAACATTGTCTGACCAATAACTTTGACGCAATGTTCATGTCTGTATCGAATGAAGGAGCTAAATTGAAGTGTCTAGTAAAGGATCGCCGAATTCTCCCGTGGATATTGTCTAGTAAACAAAAAAAATCAGCCATAAATCGTTAAAACGCTTAACTAAGTGAAAACCCAGAAAGCTTGACTTGAAGAAGACGATCAAATTCCCGAACCTGTGACAATCCGATAAGAAAGCCATGAAATTTTCTTCAAATGAAGACTTCTAATAGACATTATGATTTCGTGGCTTCAATATTGTTACGCTCCAACTAGTTTAACGAATCCCAGATTCTTCAAGGGTTTAACCGCCGACACCGGAAGCCGGCGGGATCTTGAAAAGACCACACTTTCAGGCAAACCGATAAACAAGTAGAAAGGTTACGACTTGGGAAAAAAAAAACTATAATTAATATCTTAATTATTAAACATGTAAGAGAAATGCACAGCGGGGTGGTGGCGCAGTTGGCTAGCGCATAGGTCTCATAGCTATTTGAGTAATCCTGAGGTCGCGAGTTCAGCCTCGTTCACCCCAAAATTTTTTATTTTTTAAGTTAACTGAAATTGAATCGGGTCAAGTCGGCTAGGTCGGGTCATGATCCAAATCCAGCTATTAGCAAAACCCTAATTGGCGCCGATATCTCCATCTTCCTTGTCCATAAACCCTTTTCTTATACCTTGCTCATTTTTTTCTGATTCGCTCTATGAGGAAGGCTAAAGATGGTGAAACGGAGTAAAAGTAAGATAGATTTTTCAATCAATTTTATATTCTGGATTACTCTTCGTCGATGAACTGAATTCAAGTTCAAGATTTTATTGATTGTGTTGATGTTTTTGCAGAAAGCAAGAGTAAGAGAGTGACTTTGAAGCATAAACACAAGGTCCTGAGAAAGGTGAAGGATCACCACAAGAAGAAGGCAAAGGATGCTAAGAAGCTTGGGCTTAACCGTAAGCCAAAAGTAGAGAAGGATCCAGGTATCCCCAATGACTGGCCTTTCAAGGAACAGGAGCTTAAAGCCCTAGCAACTCGACGTGCCCGTGCTCTTGAGGAGATTGAGCAGAAGAAAATCGCCCGCAAAGAAAGGGTATTAAACTTTGTAGCTCTTATCTATGAATCTGTTTACCTTATTATCGTCTGAGATTTAGACATAGCTAGTGTATCTTATGGTTTTCGATAATCCTATCACTTCAATTATAGGTCACAATTGTTACAGACATTTCCTTTGTGTTCTGAGTTTTGATTGATTGATGAAGGGAGAGCATTTTCCATGTTTTGATGTTCTCGTAATAGTTATTACGAAGTGTTGTTTGTGTTCTGATCTCTCTTAATAAATGTGTTTCAGGCCAAAAAGAGGAAACTTGGTTTGAATGGTTTGAT